ATAGCAACCGATCACCCATTAGTTCTTCACCGGCCATCATATGTTCAGATCATGATTGTTAATGATTTGTTTTAGCTTACTTTCTGAACCTGAAACGGCACGTTTCCGGTATAGAGTTAATAAGGTCACAAAGCAGCCCATCCACTGTGGGTGGGATATCCGTTAGTGTTGCGTTACTTTTGGCATAAAAGACTTACCACTACAGGAAAGCCTGTAGTATGTGCCGGTTTGTTTATATCATTTTGCCCACCTAGTGACCTTATGAGATCGATTTCCAAATCTCACAGCGTTGATAGTCGTTTAAATGACCAGTTGCTCTCTTGCGTTTATTTTTATCCAAAATGATGCAGCTACCAAATAATGTCTTCCTCTCGTCGAATAATGAAGATCACCTTACTAGATTGGATGACTATACTTCACAATCGTAAATAGCTTTCATAAAATTCAGATGGTTCGATTGCATACTGTTGAACATTTGGCATTACGACCACGATTCTAGGTGACTAGATTCATTCATGCATTTTTCTGTTCTCGAGGAAACGGTCTGTCGTCGTGCATCAAATATTCACACTAAGACAACCACTGGCGAAGGGAACTAGAATGAGATACAAACAAAACTCGCATGGCCTCGTTTACCTCTTTGTAAAGTGGTCCGTAACATTTGAGAAACTTCAAAATCGACTAGAAATGTATACATTGTAATGGATGTTGGCTTTCGTGAAGCATGCGCATAGGACTTTTGATTATTTTGAAAATGTTTTGGTTGTCGGTATTGATTTCGTTTTTACACCGAAAATAAGTGGTTAAATTGAATACCATGAGTATTTTTCCGTTAAACGTAAGCTTATGACTTTCTGATTTTTAGTTAACTGCGTACATTTCGGTTGAAAATGTGCAGAAGTATTACCTGTATCCTGCTTGGAGTATTCAATATAGCAATGTTGGTAAGTTTGCGGTAATTTATCAGTTTAGAAAATGTTAATAATGTGCTGATATTGTAAATCTAATATGGTAAGTCTGCAGAAATTGCTTTATTGTTTTACTTACTGCGCTTTTAGATGCTTTTAGATGGAGCCACAACAAAGACATTTTTCTTTCATACTCGCAGGTGTATAACTAGTTTCGTCACCGTAAAGCACAGGTTTTAATAGCAGATAACAATTTATTCTTTTAGTTTTCCAAATCAATCGCATGCAATATGAATGTTCTCTCTGAAATTATATGGTTTCTTGAACACATACAGATAGGAGGATTTTCTCTCATGGTCGTTGGAGGTTTGATGCGTTGGAACGAGAACTATTTGCGCAGTATTTGTAATCAAGCGTTGAAGTTCATTCATAATCACATGGAAGAAAAATATTCCGAGATTGCAGATAAAGCTATCACTAGAATTCAAGAATTTGCTGGTAAGTATGCGTGTGTTGTATTTTATTGTATTATTTTGTATTGTATTGTATTGTATTGTAATAACTTGTGCAAGTATGAAGCCCACATTTCATTTAAAAAATATACAGTTTGGATCGAGGGAGTAAATGAAAATAACAATGAAAAAACGATTTAAGTTCCAAAACTTAACAAATTTTGTGAAAACCTGTTCTTTGTTACCAACAATACGTGCTAATGAGGGTACTGTGGAGTGTATGTTTATTCTGGAGGGAACATAACGATATTGTGATCTAGTTGAGGGATGGGAACAACAGGAAGTTAGGTCAGCATGTAGCGGATGTGTGGAATATCAGATTTTATATCCAATAACGTTTGCAGTTTGCATGCGAATGATTAAATCCGTCTATATTCACTACTTCAGCGGAGAAATGGATCAAAGAAAATTTTATATTCCTTCAATCCTTTTTTTTGTTTAGGTCCATTTGGGCTTGCCTTATTTGTTGGAGGTCTGATCATCGTTTGCGTTGCAGGAGTCGCATTTGTTGGCCTGTGTTGCAACATTGATTTTTTCATGATTGCTGTAAGTTTTATAGATACTTGTTATTGTGTTATTGATATAATTTATTCGGTGAAAGGTTTATTTCAATACCTAAAGCGAAAATTATCAGACCAATTTCATTCGTCCGTCATTGAATAACCACTTACTGAATACATCGCGGGATAGGCTAGCTTTCGATGTGGCTGTGTCGGGACACAGAAATATCCTCACATGAAGAGGTCCTTCTGTTTTTGGCGATACACAAACCAATTGTCACCTGTTCATTTGAAATTCTTGGTGCAATAACCGAATATGTGACAATTTATTCCAGTGTTCTTATCATGTTGTTACGGTTAGCATGCTGTCTGGATTAATGCTTGTGAATAGATATAACGTTTTTGGCTTGGCTGCGCTTTTATTTTCCATAGTTCGGTATTAAACAATGATGCCAAACGATACGAGAGAAAACAACAAGCCGCAAGTGAAAAATGAATCAGAAAGTTTGGCATAGGCGACCCAAGTAAGAATGAAACTCCCGATAAGTGTTAGAAATCAATGCTTGTACGATTCTTGAAGCATTTGCCATACTTTTTATGCTGTTCACTTCTAATTCACTTACCTGAAACTCATCTACTTAATGTTTGTCTCACTCTCCCTGATTAGTACGCCGTGTTTGTCGGTGTATTATTGTTCGTGCACATTGTCTTGCTGATCGTCTATTTTTCGAACAAAGCACTGGTACGTTTATTGCTCATTTTTGTTTTATGCAGAAACGGCTTATTTTCCATGTTTGGTGGGCCACTGAACTCGGTTATAGTGAGAGGGACTTGAGAAAATTGCAGTCGAACTGTTTGGATGCATTGTGAAACGATGCATCATCGATCGTATTCAGTGGAATCAATGTTATACATCAATTTTTATGCTAACTGGGGTTTTTGATGGAAAAGCGCACAATTATTTAATAGCCCTACCAGCGCTTTTCAGTAGCGATCACTTTTGCGAAAATAATTTGACGATAAAGACCGAAGTGGGGAGATTATCACGTGTAGATGTTTTGTAATAATTTATTGAAAACACAAATAGGCAAATAAGGTCCTATTCATGCCATTACAGTACAATAAATATGACTGGTAACAGTGAAGGATTTACAAGGAAAAAAGGAAAGTAATTAAAGCATTCAACAGTTTGTGTCATAATTGGTCCCGAATTATCATTTGCTCCGATGTTTCGTGACAGTTCACTTGTCGGCAATCCGGCCATG